AAATCCACTTTTCTATCTACTAAGATTTTTTTCCTAAAATTTCACCAAATTCTTATCCAATCAAGTTTAAATTTGTGTTTTTTCTACTTGTTGCTCATATATGAAATGAGTCAACCCTAATCACATTCATTGAGTAATAGAAATGAGGAAGATGATGGATTCCTTCCCAGATGATCTATGGGCTATTATACTTGTTCTATTACCTCTAAAAACCATCACAGCTTCAAAATTGGTTTGCAAGCAATGGAAATCAATCGTCGAATCTTCTTTTTTCCGCGAGCTTTTCATTTCTCACCATGAAAACTCGCATTCTTCTCCATGGTCGCTCATGTGCAAGAACGATCCGGTAGAAGTGCTGTCTCATTATGGAGGCGAGATTTGGGGTCTTGGGCGATCTCTTAACTCTTACATTTACTCTTTCCTAACCAAGAAGTTCGTGAACCACCAGGAGATATACAAACATGCCAAAGTTGTGGCTTACACTGATGTTGGTTTGGTATTGATCCGTGTCGTGTCTCTCTTCGGTAACGTATCCTACTTCGTGGCTAATCCAGTTTCAGAAGAATGCGTAGAAACCGATCCTCCATGGTTCGAGCCGATGCATTATTTCTGGCCACTGGGAATTGCTACACGAACTGAGAAAAACGGGGTCCTTTCAGGTTTCAAAGTTGTTCTGCTTTTTGATGCAATGGCAGTGCCATGGAAAAAGAGCTTAAAGTTTCTGGTGTATTCCTCTGAGACTGGCTTGTGGAGTCTCGAAACTGTTCAGGTTCCTGTCTTCTTTTGGAGACACGATTATCACAATCCCATTAGCTCCAATGGGAGTCTCCACTGGCTCGCCCGAAACCACAACAATGATGAAGCTGTTGTATCCATCGATTTCTACTCTGCTGGCACGGGTTCTGTTCTTGTTACGCCTTTCCCTGATTTAGGAAAATCTCCAAAATTCAATAGAGCTTGCACAACTTGTCAAGGGTTTCTCGTGTACATGAACGTAGTCTCTGTAACCAAAGATGATGGGAGTGTAGATGATAGGTTTAGCGTATGGAAGCTTAAGAGCCGGAAATGGCAACTAGTATCTGAAATCGTCCGCGAGAATGGTTTCAATTATATTCCGTTTGCTATAAACCCAATTGACGGTAAGTCAGTCTACTTTTGGAGCACCTATGGCAATTGTTTGCTATCAATGAACTTACTCAATGGAGAATTTGTGTGTCTCAATAAGTTCGAACGTGGTTGTATTTCGAGTTCCATTGAATGCGCGAAAGTTATGGCATGCATCAGAGGGCCAATCTTTTCATCGTTCGTTCTGCCACTATGGGTGCATCGGATCCCGAACAAGTTGAGAGAAGTTTAGACATAATATCTACAAGAGTGCACT